ACCAGCTCTTCTGAAAGTCAGCCAAAGACACCCAAAAAGAAGAAAAAGATGTTTCGTACTCCTTCCTTCCTGCGGATGAGCAAAAAGAACAAGGAGAAAGGAAAAGACAAAGAGAAGGAGAGAGAGAAGGAGCAAGAAGAAAAGGAGATAGAAGAAGAAAAGGAATGCAAGAAGGACTGAGTAAATGGGACTGTGCAGGGGCTTGTGGGTAATGTATTTTCAGCAGGGCCAAATGTAAAAATGCGATGGCTAGCAGACAGGGATATTAAGATCGAAGCAATGACTTGTGTGATTGTAAAACATAATATTTCAACACTTTTTGCTACAGCTATTTAAACAACTAAATAGCCTAAGAATATCCTCCTACACTTTTATAAACTGTACATAAATACACACAATATCAGCAGACTAAGTGAAAAATTCTAATCCTTATTCACAGCCCTAAACACTGAACATGAGAAGTATCGGAAATATTTTGATGGCTCTACATTGTGTTTTGTAGATGAATTGATGTTGTGTGCCAAATTTATCAGGTGACAGTGAATTGTATGAAAGACTGTGTGCAATTGAATTCCTGCGTATTAGGAATATTAAAGTATTAAAATAATTTTTAAATGGGAAACAGCCATTCAGTATGATATGAAGCTTTGTTGGTTTGTAAATGGAAATGTGGTTGATAACAGATTGTTATTCTACTAATAGTTTGATTGACTGATTATGTAATAGGGTATAACCATTATGTTAATTACACTATCAAATACATGGATTTTATTTTTTTGTGCTGTAATTATGTTAATAGTGATGTTTTCTTGTTCTCACCAATGCGTTTTTGTCTTACATGGTCAAATACTGCTTTTGTACTTTGCAGTCTCATGGTCGTGTGTAAATTTAACATTTCTGAAATAAAAGTGTGCTACAATTTATGAAGGAAATAAATAATTTTATAATAATACAGATGTCAGCTGGAAAACAATTTGAATAAAAAGAAAAAGCAAATAAATCACAAATTGTTGTAGAAATGTCAACAAATCAACATTTATTTCTCTCAAATATGTAAATATACAAAACTGAAAAGCAAATGTAACAACAAATGGACTGCAGCAGAATGCTTATTAGACACAGAGGTGGAGAGAGCAAAACAAAAAACTGCTTAATCTGTTCAAAGACACCAGTATTCCCTATCTCCACTATGTATGAGGAAAGCCAGTGCTTTCCATGTATGCTTGTTCAACACATTATAAAAACTATAGAGCAGAGTTCCCATCCTCAGCAGCTCCTGCAGACTTGGTCCTGAGAGCATGAGGAAAAAAACCTGTAAAACTAACCAGGAGTTGTGCTTCACTGAGGACTGATGTTTTATTAGTTACAACATCCAGAGACTCGTTCAGTACAGAACAGCTCCAACATCCACAGAACAAACACCCACTATTACTAGAAACAAAACAAGGAGGGAAATGTGTTACTATATTTATTTCATGTCCAATCAGATCTGTTTATGATTTCTAAGTGGGTTTCAGTTTGATTCATTTTTATGTTTGGTGATTACAGATGGGAACAGACAGAACACAAGGGAGATCACTGGGGCATTAGGTGCCTGACATTATATTTTGAAGTGTCATTGTACTGGGTCATGGGTTTATCTGCGATACCACACGTGCCAACGCCAACTTTTCCATTCACACTCTCTGGAGATGCAAATATACTCCTCTTCACCTAGAGAAGATGATCATACAACACGAACATGATGACAGGGTTAAAAACAAAAAACATAGCAAGATTAGTCCGATTTTCTGTTTCTCTCATACGCACCTGTCCTTTTTTATTCTTGGAATAGGCTTTATTGTTAAACTGCTGCCATTTGGATTTCTGATCTTCTCTCTCCTGCTCCAGCTCCTTCATGCGCAGCACCTTTTTCTGGGTCTTTTTCTTCTTATATTCTCTCTGCTCTGCCAGCAGCTCTTTCCTAAGAGAAAACACACAATGGGAAAACATAAAAAAAAACAGAATTATTCAGACATATGCAAACACAAACGCAGTGAAGTGCATTAATGTCTATAGCACTGGCCTTTTATAAATAGTTCGTAAATCTCTCATTATGCTGTTACCAGCAAATCTTGGATTCAAACTTTGTCAGCTTGATTTCTTTCAATTAGCCCAGGTTTTGTATTGCTTTTGGAACGGATTAATCTCATTGATCTGAGATTATGCACCTTAGTGGAGAGGGGAAAAAAAGCAATATTTGTGAATAATTGTAAAAAATATCAGTAAAAAAAAAAAACTGAAGTGGATAAGTTCAGATCAAAAAGGCCTACAAAATAATCAATTTCAAAAAGAAATACAAAACCTGTGTTATTGAAAGAAAACAAGTTAATAAAAACATTGAATCCAATATTTCGTAATAGCATACCAAGACTTTTTGTAAGCAGATCATTTTTGACCAGGAACACCAAGTGTTACAAGGTGGGGGGAAGAGAAAAATCTATAATAAAAATTATTAATTATTAAATAAAATTAATAATAAAAATTAAAATAAAACAAGTATTTCTTTACTAACGTCTCAATTTACTGTAGCAACTGTGCTTATTTACAGTTTTTAAATCATACAACACATTATAAAGATGTGTGGAACTGTTCAGATTTTATATCAAAACTGATCTAAAAGTCATTTTAACATCCACTTACTTGGATTTGGGCTTTCCCCCCTCGTCTTCTCTGCTCCTGCCTTCCTCCACTGGTTTGAGTACATGAAGCGGCAACACCTCTGCATTACCATAGCCAGCGAAGGTGACGGCTGCCGTGCCGTTCTCAGTGTCAATCTCTTCAATTTCAGCTTCATATACCCTGCCAATCACACAGCACTGTAAGCAGGTGAGTACGGATATCCACACACATCCCTCCTCCAAATGCAGCCGACCACAATCCCACCCAACACTCAATTAATAATATCAATATACCACCCAGCACTGTGTTGGCGTGTGATACTCACTGTCCGTCCTGTGTCCAGGTGGCCATGCAATGGTCTCCGACCCTCCAGCTGCGAGTGGGAGCGACTGCCTCTGAGCTTTTGGTGCTGGTGGCACCCTCCACCGGCTGTGATGTCAATAGGTCTTTTGTCAACTCAATCACCTCCTATAGTGACACATAACAGCAATGATTTGATGAATATACTTACATAGAAAGGTACTTTAAATCTTGTCAGAAGCTATCAGTCATCAGCCTAAGTGACAAAAACTGGACCCTGAAAAACATGGCAGACTACTGAAAGTTTCAACAATGCAAACACATACAAAAGAACAAACACATTATACCAGTAAGTGTATAAAGATACATATAAACCTCACAATTCTTCTCTACTGTAGTAATGCCTCACAAAAAGCAGTGGATAATTGTGCCCCAAACCTGGAGGTCCTTCTGCAGTTTAAGCAGATCTTCATTATCTGGATCTGTAGAGAGCGCCGCTTCCACCTGCTGCAGCTGAGCTTTATAATTGCTCAACTGCTTTACCAACTCTTCAGACATCTGAAGAAAAAGAAAAATCAAAAAACATTAAGTAAAAACAGGCCTCAAAACACCCACCCACCCTTTCTTTCTATATATATATATATATATATATATATAGACAGATAACAAATAATTTACATTGCACCAGCACAAAATTCATAATAACCTAGTTCTCTAGATCAGGATTCCCAAATATTTTCGATCTGAATCCGACCTAAATTAAGTTTTTTAAATACTCCTTTAAACTTAAAGCAATATTAACATTTTTAAATATTAATGTTACAATATGTTGGGATGTGTACTTGTGATATATATACGAAGAAAAAACATTAATATTTCACATTTAAATAACAATGTGTGTATATATTTATTTGCTCATTTTCATTTTACATGTTTACTTAATTTAATACAGCATTAGCAGTGAGTCTCACAAATATTTGTTTCAAGTTAAACGCAGATCAGTGACTAATGTAATAACGTTAAATGGAGCACAAGGCCTCGCGCTCGACAGAAGACATGTTTATATTTATAAACACAAGATAACCGGATCATCCTTTAACATGCGTCTTACCTTTCAATATTCCTAGTATAATATTTATATGAAAACCAGATAAATTAAGGTGTTTAAGTATCCCATGAACGACTGTATTTTCGTAAAATGAATACCGTTCCTTTTACGTTTGTATCGTCTCTCACTACCGTCGTTTCGACCTTTTCCCGGATGTGACGCCACAGTCTCGCGTGATTAAAGTTGTCGCGGTGTTGCTGCTGCAAAGAAAGGAAAATAAAATAAAAAATAAAATAAAATAATCTGAATGTGAAATGTGAATTTGTCAGACGAAGGCATTCAAGACAGTTATTACTAGTGATACTTTATTTATTAAGCCAGTATAATAGTCTGAAAAATCTTTTGGAACATTTTATTGAAACTTTATACAAATCTATTTTAAAACAATATAACTTTCTAAAAAGATATGGCTCTGACATATATATATATATATATACATTCTGCAAAGTAGGGACTTTATTTAAACTGTCATTTTGTATTTTGACCATGCAATACACGTTTTATATTATATGTTGTAATCCAACAAAAGCAATTCAAAGTTGCTGTGAATGTCTGTTTGCAAATGAAGACTCGAGACACACTTCTTCAAGACACCTAGTACATTAGAAACTACATTGACTTTACAAAAACAAACACACCTGCACTAGTGTATTAAATATACATACATACATACCAACCGCACCATGACACCAACACTAAATATTTAAATAACAGTCAAATCATTATGTACTCTTTTTTCCTTTCCCTTCTCATTGTTTTTATTTTATAAGACTTTTTTTAATTACCACGCTAATGAAACCACTTGAATCATGAGAGGGAGAGAGTACAACAACATCACTATATTTTATTGTATTTCCAAAAAACACACACTCTAGTCTAGTGTAGCGTGTTAGCGCCTGAGTTCTACGGACCTACGTAGGTTGAGATGATTGGTCTATGGACTGACCAATAAGAGCTCGGTGTCTGTCTGTAAACAAAAGATTTCGTCAGTGTTTTCCAGGAGCGCTATACTGTCCCGTATTTTTCTCAGGTCGAGCAACCTTTAGTCTTTTGTTCACAAACAAACTAAATTTAGGACACGCTACATTTTAAAACGTATTTGAAATTCCAAGGAACAGCGATGTCAGCGCAAAAATTTATAACCCAGGAAGAAAGTCTGCATGGTGAGTTACACAATCTGTCTTGCTCGATTAAATAACGTACCTACATCGACAACTAACGAAAACAATAAGAGCATTAATAGTAACAATCAATTATTTACACCCTTTACACCCTGTTTTCTTTTTATAAATCTCTATAAAGCAGAACTTTTTGTTCAAATCTGCCAAGTCAGCAACTTGTTTGCTAAAACAAACACTTGTTCTGTTTTTGTTGGTCCAATTGTTTGTTGAAGGACAAGAGACATTTACGGTGACCCCTTTTTTGCACGGATTGTATTGGAAATATTGACTAACACCCCTTTTTGGTTCAGTTTCTGTTACACTAAGTGTAGTAAAGTATGTGTGGTTGTTTGTAAAGCTCTATCTGAAAGACCTAATCAAACATTCACCACGTCTAAAAGTGGAAACTGCCTTCAATGATCATTTTAAAATATTCTGATGTACCTTTCTCCACTAGACTCATGGGTAGAGCTCCACTTTGATTCATGCAGTGAACATAGTGAGGGCACACCAGCCCTGTCTGATATCACAGACCTGGAAAAAATGCTTCTGGAAGCACAACGGGAATCAAGCAGTAGTTCACGGACAAGTTCTCACTGTAGCAGGTGTGTATAAACCACTTCACATGTACATGCAAGACTTTTACAAGGGAGTTTATGATCATTCTCATCACATTGGCTGTTGTGATTTTGTTTCCTCCTAGTCCTCGACGTGTCCAGACACCTCCACTCATCAGTGCAGCCTCCTTCAACACACATGCCATTGCAGAGGTAAAAAAAAGAAAGAAAAGAAAAAAGTTTTTCTTACACAGGTTTGCATTTATTAAAATATAAATACCCTTCCACAATATTCATAGGCAGTACTAATGGGTTTAAGTGGTACAAATATTGCACTAAAAACAGTTTACCCCAAAATGAAAATTTACTCACCATCAGGCCATCCAAGATGTGAATGAGTTTGTATCTTCATTAGAACACATTTGAAAAAAAATTTGCATTTCTTCACTTGCTCATTGAATGGGTGCCATCAGAATGACAGTATCTCAAATAGCAAATAAAAACTTCACAAGTAATCCACACAACTCCAGTCCATCACTTAGCGTCCTGTGAAGCAAAAAGCTGTGTGTTTGTAAGAAACATTGCATCCTACTAAACTACGAGTCCTCTATCCACAATATTGCTTTCTCCAGAGAAACATTGCCTTGTCTGATCAGGAGAAACGTGCACAATTCAAGCATCGTTTACAAGTGAAAACAATCTAAAGCAAATATATCTGTGGATTTTGATGACAACAGAGGATGGCCTTTTCACTGGAGGAAATGTTATTATGGATTATGGACTCGTATTTTGGGCAGAATAGAATGCCTTAAAGTGCCTTAATAATGACTTTGTTTCTTACAAACACACAGCATTTCACTTTACACTGATAATTGATGGATTGGAGTCATGTGGATTGTTTGTGGATAATTGTCAGGTTTTTATCAGCTGTTTGGACTCTCATTCTGACGGCACCCATTCAAGACTAAGGATAGGTGAGCAAGTTATGTAATGCTAAATTTCTCTAAATCTCAACAAACTTGTCTACATCTTCTTCGATTACTAAAAGATCAGATTTTATTTTGAGGCTTTGCTCTTTCTGTTCCAGGGGGAAGTTGTAGCAGAAAGCAAACAGGAAGCTGAGGCTGTTGCAAGGATCTGTGACTGGTCCAGCCGACCAGAGAATGTACCACCAGCAGCATTTATTATTAAACGTCCAAAACGGAACAGAATGTGCTGCAAAAACACAGACAAAAATGACAAGGAAATTAACACAAACTTGCTGAAGTTACTGCTACCCTCTCTAGTTTTGACACACATCCTTATGCTTGGGTTGGGGTGAGACACTTTTTCACTTATAAAGTCTGACTTAATGTTTGCCACTCTTTTGTTCACAGTTTGACTATTTTTAATCTCTCTCTGCAGGATCTGTATTGGACAACGCCTTTCCACTCAGTGCTCTATTATCTGAGTCATAGCACATGAGTGAGTGTGTGTGTGTGTGTATGCTGTGTGTCAGTGTCTCTAGAAAAAACCTGACAGCCTAGAACCCTTTAGTTTTTTTCCAGGAGAAATGCAGGACTATGCAAGAGGACACTGTGAAAATATGATTAGAGATGGAAACTCTCAGCATTATTTTACTTTGGTTCTCCTGTGGGGAATTTGGCACAGAATTTAAAAAAATATGAATCCAGTTATGTATGGGTATCAGATTAGATTAACCAGGAAATATGCCTAATAGATTTAATCTTTTTTTGCTTGGAACTAAAATGTTTGTTACATTAAATACTTAAGCATGAAGATTATTTTACTGACCAGGTCACATTATAGTCCTTCAGCTGACCTGCTTTTTAAAAACATTTTGAATCATTACTCTTGAAAAATACAAATTTATGTTTGACAGAAATTTCAGAGGCATATAAATACATATTCTGTCATTTATTCTAATGTGACATGCTATGAAAAACTAATAAACCCTGTTGCCAAAATAGTAATCTTGAAATTCATTTTTGCTGAGAAAAAAAGAAATACTTTCACATTTTGTGCATCCATCCAACCAAGAAAAAATTTGACACTTCTTATTCATCAGTATTTAGTGAGATCTAATGTGTATCTCATTAGTAATAATAATAATAATAATAAATGTAGGTACAGGAAGATTTTTTTTAAAACAGAACATTAACTATGTTTAACTTGCCACCGATCTCTCCAGTTTCAAATTGTGTGTTTGCCTTTATGGGACAGCAGGTGGCGGTGTGGGACTTTCTGCTTGTTTTTTGGTTGGAGTTGACACTTCTTATAACTTTATTTAAAACGTACCAAACTAACAGAATTAGAGTTATAGACAATTTCAGACAATATGATTAATGGCAGCATCGATTTCATCATAGGCTGCCAGTATTTTATTTTTTCACAGAGAATAAACTACTCCACACAATGGATAACTGTGTATTCCTACATATACAGGCAGCATAGCAGTTAAATCTAAAATACACAACTAAACGTGCCTAAAGAAGAAATTCTGCTTACTGATAAACGAACACGGTTAAGACGTATATTAATAATCAAATTACATGTACAGAATGAGCAGGCCTAATTGCGACAGCACATGATCAGGATATGGACGTATAACTGCTATAGGCTATACGTATGTTATTGAGTTAGTTTGGGAGGGAGAAAAAAAGAGAAATAGCGTAAGACTTAGGCTAAGTGAAACTGAGGACTTGATGATTTGACATTTTGAACAGCAGGTTTCATTAATGCCTTTCTAATGTGTGAACATTTTATAAGAAACCTGCAGGCGTTTGTGCTCTTATTTCGCACATTGAAAAACGTATGCCAGGTTCAGCATTAAAAGTGATTATTCGATGTTCGAAAGTGTTTCAAAACGAAACGTAAGAAAATTCCGAAGAATTACTTGTATTATTATGACTTGATTAATTACATTTTGAAAATGTTATTCGCTATCCTATTATTTAGTAGGCCTATTTAACAAAAAAAAAAAAAACGGTTGATATTATGTCAAAGCGTTATTTGAAAATGTTCAATAAGACATTACAAATAATAATAAATAAAAAATCATCCATGGCCATCAGCAGCAGCCAGCAGGTGCTTAATGAAGTAGGAAAGGACTTGAAGTCATCCCACGTCATCTTGGTAGGGATGCTGCGCGCGATTTCCATCTTTCAAAGTTCTTACAGCTTGACTCTGACTCAGTGTTGCCAACTAATTTTCAGGGGAAGTTGCTAAAGGAAGGTTGATTTGTTGCTAAAAGTTGCTAAATGACGCTATGTCATTGCGCGGTGACGTCATTGCGTAATCACGTTGCAAAATTGTGTCACTGCATCAAATCTCAGCAAAAAAAAAAAAAA